TCTGCCTTTCAAATAAATAAATCTTTTTTTAAAAAGTGAGAAAGCTGGCTCCCTCGATTTGTTTATTCAGTTGTCCAGTTGCATTGTATGTATACAGATTGTGTGGCTTTAGAATTAGTATGCACTCCTATGGAAAGCATTTCATCAACGAGAAGACAGTGCTTCTGTGCAGTTCTTTTTCCTTCATTCTTACAGACTCATCTCCAAAATCACTTAGGTCAGCACCTTTCCCCTATCTTTCATCACAGTCTATGTTTTATCCAGGAGCCTCCGACCTCCTAAATGATTTTTAAATTTACCTACATTAAGGTTCACTCTGCTGTAAAGTTCTGTGGGTTTTGAGAAATGCACAGTGTCACATTCTCCATCTGGCCTGGAGTTTTTTGTATTTCTTGTCCTTTTGCCTGGAATATTCCTCCCATGCATTTCCTCATTGCTCGCCCCTTATTTTTCATTCAAATCTCTGTTCCTTGAACAACTAATCTAAAGGAATCTGCTAGAACAAAGTGAACATTCCATTCATTTATTTTTATGTGTGTGGTTTGTTTTGGTCAATCTCCCTCTACTAAGATACAAATTTAATGAAAGAAAGGACTGTGTGTATCCTGGCTGTCTAGTATACTGCATTAGTGAACAGGTGCTGATGTTTGAATGAGTAATCCTCTCCTGGGCGTGTCCAACATGTGTATTCCTGGTGTGTGGTTTTGGTATTTATCAGTAATAATTGAAGCAGGTTTGTTCAGTTGGCCTTCCAGCTTACTCTGCTTCACTACTTTACTTACAAAAGGGTTCTGCTCACAAATTAGGTTAAGTGTTTCATTATATTGAAGATGTGCTTGTTGTCTCCTACAGTGTATTTAGCCTTTTTAAAAAAAAGTTAATTTTAATAAGGATCTTAGAATCCCTATTCCTCCTTAGAATTGTACATTAATACTATGAATTTCCCAGCCTGGCTAAACATTCAAATCTGCTCAGATGTTTTAAAAAAAAATTGCTTCCAGGATGGGCATTTGGCACAGAGTTGGGATGCCTGCATCCCATTTTGGAATGCCTGGCTTTGAGTCCCAGCTCCATTTCCAATTCTAATTTCCTGCTGATGCACATCCTAGGTGATGGCTCAAGTGGTTGAGTCTCTGCTACCCACATGGGACACCCAGAATGAGTTCCAGGCTTCCAGCATCAAGCTGGCCCAGTCCCAGCTATTGAAGGCATTTGGGGAGTTCACCAGGAGTTGAAGATATCTGTCTCTCTGCCTTTCAGATAAAAAATAAGCAAAATATTACAGAAATTAATAAAATTTCTTTTACTGTGAATGTATTACATAAACTAAACACAGAACAAAACCGTGCTTCCTGGGCTTCTTCCCTGACTTAATTTCCAGGAAGATTGTACAAGTTTGTATTTTAACAGCTAGCCTGACATTTAGTCAGAACATTTGGAGTTTAAAAAAAAACCAGTGTGTTAATACTCAGTGAGAACTTGTGATAATGTCTTCAGGATTTCATCTTACAGCTATGATTATTGAAGCTTATACAAAAAGATCTCTCTCTCTCTCTCTCTCTCTCTCTCTCTCTTTTTTTTTTTTTTTAAGATTTTATTTATTGGGGCCGTCGCTGTGGCGCAGTGGGTTAATGCCCTGGCCTAAAGTGCCAGCATCTCATATGGGCACCAGTTCGAGACACGGCTGCTCCACATCCGGTCCAGCTCTCTGCTATGGCCTGGGAAAGCAGTAGAAGATGGCCCAAGGCCTTGGACCCCTGCACCCACTTGGGAGACCGGGAAGAGGCTCCTGGCCCCTGGCTTTGTATCGGCGCAGTCCGGCTGGCCGTTGCGGCCAATTGGGGAGTGAACCAGTGGATGGAAGGCCTCTCTTCCTCCCTCCCTCCCTCCCTCCTTGCCTCTCCTCTCTGTGTAACTCTAACTTGCAAATAATTTTTTTTTTTTTTTTTTTTTGACAGGCAGAGTTAGACAGTGAGAGAGAGAGACAGAGAGAAAGGTCTTCCTTTTCCGTTGGTTCACCCCCCAAGTGGCTGCTATAGCCAGTGCGTTGCAGCCAGCGCACTGTGCAAATCCAAAGTCAGGAGCCAGGTGCTTCCTCCTGGTCTCTCACGCGGGTGCAGGGCCCAAGGACCTGGGCCATCCTCCACTGCACTCCCAGGCCACAGCAGAGAGCTGGACTGGAAGAGGAGCAACCAGGACAGAATCCAGTGCCCCAACTGGGACTAGAACCCGGGGTGCTGGCGCCGCAGGCAAGGGATTAGCCTAGTGAGCTGCTGCGCTGGTCCCAAATAAATAAATCTTTAAAAAAATTTTTTTTTAATATTTTATTTATTTGAGAGATAGAGTTACAGAGAAAGAGAGAAAGAGCTTCCATCTGCTGGTTCACTCCCCAGATGGCCACAACAGCCAGAGCAAGACCAATCCAAAGCCAGGAGCCAGTATTACTTCCTTCTAGGTCTCCCTCGTGGGTGCAGAGGCCCAAGTACTTAGGCCATCTTCTTCTGCTACTGCTTTCCCAGGCCATTAGCAGAGAGCTGGATTGGAAAAAGAGCAGCGGGTACATGAACTGGTGCCCATATGGAATGCTGGTGCTGCAGGCAGAGGCTTAACCTACTGTGCCACAGTGCCAGCCCCTAAAAAGATATTTATAACTTGCACTAAAATTACTGTATGCCTAGGTACTAGGAAGTACTATAAACGAATCAAAAGCACTGCTCTCCAGGAACCGGTATCTTCTGAGAAGACAGTATAATGAATGTAAATAATCACAAGAGAAGGTAGAAGACAATAGGCTCATAGAAATCGTTGTCATTTAAAATTAGGAGTGGTCATTTGCACCCACAAAGGAAGGTAAGAATAGCGCCCAGTTCTTTTTAAAACTTTTTTATTTTTTTATTTGAAAGGCAGAGTTACAGAGAAAGAAGGAGAGACAGAGAGAGGGAGGTCTTCCATCCGCTGGTTCACTCCCCAAATGGCCACAATGACTAGGGCTGGACCAGACTGAAGCCAGGAGGCAGGAGCTTCTTCCTGGTCTCCCATATGGATGCGGGAGCCCAAGCACTTGGACCAGTCTTCCGCTGCTTTCCCAGGCACATTAGCAGGGAGCTGGATCTGAAGTAGAGCAGCTGCAACTTGAACCAGCGCCCATATGAGATGCAGAGACTTAATCTACTATGCCACAATGCTGGCCCCAAGCCCAATTCTTAAAATGAATCCACATTGAGAAGAGTTGGAACCCTGGGTGCCCCAGCCTCTCGTGGAATAACGTAGGAATTGGAGGTTAGGAAGTTGGGTATGCAGCCTATTAGCAGCTAGAAGACAAGAGCCAAAATGAGACCCCCGAATGGAAGACCTAAATCAGATTGTCAGGATTTGTCAGTCAGTGGTTTCTAACAGAGCACTAGAACTCCTCACAGAGTTTTTCTGTTTCAGCTTTGAAATTTTTACAGTACTTTAAACATTAGAAACTTTTATTGTTTATATATAATTTGGGTAACTTTTAAAAGAATGATTTATTTATTTGAAAGTGTGACAGGGAGGGAGAGAGAAGAGATCTTCCACCTGCTGGTTTACTTCCCAAATGCCTGCAACAGCTGGAGCTAGGCTAGGCTGAAGCCAACAACTAGGTACTCCAACCAGGAACCCAGCCATCACTGCTGCCTCTCAGGTCTGCTTTGGTGGCAAGATGGGAGTCAGGAGCCAGAGGCATACGTCAAAGCCATCACTTAGATGCGGGCCACATCTTAACTGCCAACCTGAACACTCCCCTCCAAGTATCCTTTCTATTCAGATGACTTCTAGATTAATCTCTGCCTCCCCACCCCCATCTCTTCTGAGATTGAGCAGCACATTTCCAATAGCCTATGTAACATTGCTGTCTAGATGTGGCTCCAGTACCTCAAATTCATCATTTCATTGTGTCTGTTAACACCACCACCACCCTGTAAAACATCCAAGCAAAGATGACACCTGGCCCTCAACCTCAACCTTGAATATTCCAGCTCTAGAACTCTGTACTTCATAAGTGTAATTGAGTTCTGACAGTTCATTTTTGTTTTATCTTATGTCTGTAACTACTTTTCCTTCCCAGAGCCAGAGTCTTTAATTGAGCTTTCAGAACACCACAAGACATTGGCAGTTATTTAGTTTCTCTCCCTCCTCCTGATACTTCTACATCCCAGCCCTGGCTGATGTGGGCATCTGGGGCATGGGCCAGCAGATGAGAGAGTGCTTGTACACTCACTGGCTTGTTCTTTCTCTTTCTCTCTCCCTCCATATCCCTTTTTCTCCTCTCTCCCAGCTCTTCTCCCTCTCAACTTAATAAATCATAATTTAAAATGAGAAAAACAAAAGGTGGGTGGAGGCTAGTGATTGAATGAGATTACCAGGGAGGTACGTGGAGAGAGACAAAAATCCAGGACACATATTTAGTGAATGTCTACACTTGGAGGGGTGGCAGAGGGGCAGGAGAAGGAGCTTTGGTCAGAGACAGGGTGAAACCCTAGGGCAATCCTGCAAGAAGTAGATGAGAAAAATACTTGTAGGGAAATAGTCTGAAGTAAAGTTCACATTATAAACTATATTAAATGACCTAGGTTAATGAAAAACATGAAATTTTGTAGGAAAGCTGCATTGCAACATTACTTATTATAAACAGAATGGCATTAAAGAATATTGCTAGACTCAGAATTGAAGAGATTTTAATTTTCTTTAGCTTTCTTTTAGCAATATTGATTTTAATTAGTAATCCTTTGAATTGAAAAGTTCTTGAAGTTTTAAAAGGAGTTATCTTTTATTATTTTCTGTGTGAATCTGGAATAGATGGGTGATTGAATTAATTCTAAATCAGTGGCATTTCATCATGTTTTAGCATCTGCCTACAACACATTTTAGTGTATTTTCCTGACAATATTCCTAAGTATTCTTTTAGGGATAAAAATAAACATATGTGTACTGTTGGTTTTTGCCTAAGTAACTGATTGTTTTATCATTCTGTTCAGGATCTGACTGGTATAGAATCTATGGATCAATGTCGCCATACCTTGGAACAGCATAACTGGAACATAGAGGTAAAATAGCATTCATTTTGAGTTATATTATTTTTTCCTGCTCTAATAAAGGATCAAAAACATCTATAGCAGGAATTTTTTTCCTCAGTAGATTTTTCTAGAATTACTACTCTTCAGTGTTTAAAACTAAAAGTGTATGTAGGAGAGGTAGATAATGTGAAGAAAGTTTATAAAGTCATAGAAAAATAGGTATGGAAAGCCAAGACACTGTGGCAAAAAATGACCTACACGAAGGATCTCTGTGAGTGAGACCCCAATGGAAAGAGGAGGCCATCAAAGAAGGAGGTACATTTCTCTGAAGGGAGGAGAGAACTTCTACTTTTCTTATGGTCCTGTCTAAATACTGACGGAGTTTGTGGACTCCAAAGGCTTCCGTAGCCTTCACAACTCGTGACAAGAGCCTCAAGGTGATCACTGACGTCATAAATAAAAGTGTTAATTTTTTAATCAACAGGAAGAGTCACTGTGCACTTACTCCCCATGTGGGACCTCTGTCTTTAATGAGTTGTACTATGAAAATTAACAGTAAAACTTGTCTTCAAATAGTACTTTATATTTTGTGTGTCTGTGTGAGTGCAAACAGTTGAAATCTTTACTTAGTATAGAATTGGTCTCTTATATAAAAGATGATTAAAAATAAATCTTAGTGAAGAATGGGATGGGAGAGAGAGTAGGAGGTAGGATGGGAGTTGGGGTGGGAGGGTGGATATGGAGGGGAAGAACCACTATATTCCTAAAGCTGTACCTGTGAAATTTATATTTATTAAATAAAAGCTTTCTAAAAATAATCAGAAAAAATGGTGACCAAGTCCTTCAGTATAATACCTCTCCCCCTTATTTTTTCTTGAGGCTCCTTGAAAAGCTATTTTTATGTATTTTTTAACCTGTTAGCTTAATATAAACCTCCTCATTATATATTTTAGAGTGTATTCTTTTGATTTTTCTAGGTAGTTCTGTCACCTACAACTTCTGTTTCTTTCACTTGACCATTTGAATTAGTTAGAACTTTATCAGGATCAGTTAATAATGGTAATAGCCAACATCCTATGATGTTGGTTATTGCTTGAGGTAGAACCACTGGAATGTAAGTTGCAAGAGAACAGAGATTTATTTTTTGTTTTGTTTTGTTAATTGTTATATTCCCAGCATAAATACTGAACCGGGTACCTTGTAATTCTAACTGTTGACTGTTCTTCCATGTTTAGTATATCATTAATTGTATATCAGGAGTAAATATTGAATCTTTTTACATGCCCTTTTGATCTGTGGAATTACTGCTTTGATTTTGGTATGTTATTTCAATAGGGAGCTGGATTTCTGAAAACATATTCCTAAATGATACTGTTATTATAATAGTAAACAAACTCAGTCCTTACTTTGTATGGAGCTTAACTCCAAGTAATTTCAGTTTGTAATAAATGTTGAATAAGACGACTATAAGAAATGTAACGGAGCAGTTTGGGAAGTTACTTTAAATAGGATAATCAAGTTTTAGACTCTGGAGTTCCATGAGAACTGATACTTGAATGATGAAGTAGACTGAAGAGTGAACATTTCGGGGAGGTGCATTTTGTGCAGTGGGAATGAATGATGCTGTCTGTATTTTTGTGTTTTTTGTTAGACTTTGATTTGAAGCATTTGTTAGCTTTAAAAATTTAAATTTTTAATAAAAATTTAAATGCTTAAATGAGTTGATGCTTTTAAATAGTGTAGGAGTTATCTATTCCTTAAAGATTTGGGGGAAAAAATACCTAAAGCATATTTCTGCCTGTGTTCTGGAATTTTGCAGTTTCCTTTCCCTGTCAATCATAATTGTTTTCTGTATCGGTTTATTTTTTTTAAATATGTATTTATTTTTAAAGATTTCATTTATTTATTTGAGAGGGAGAGTTAGAGAGAGAGAGAGAGAGAGAGAGAGAGAGAGGGAAAGGTCTTCCATCCACTGGCTCACTCCCCAGATGGCAGAGCAATAGGGTGGTACAGGGTGAGGGGCAGCAGGCTGAAATCTTCATCCTGTTTTACTTCCCAAATGGCTACAATGGCAAGATCTGGGCCAGGCCAAAGCCAGGAGTCAAAAACTCGATCCTGGTCTTCTACGTGGGTGGCAGATCACCCTCTGCCTTTCCAGGCACATTAGCAGGAAGATGGATGGGCAGAGTAGCTGGGACTCAAACCAGCACTCTGAGACGGGATGCCAGCATCACAAGCAGCAGCTTAACCACTGCGCCACAGTGCAGGCCCCTATTGCTTTCTTAGAAAAGACATTTTTCTTAGAAATGGCAAACGTTTTTAGCATAGCTCTATATACAGCATGTCCTTTATTCTCTGTTTCTGTGTTATTATCCTACTCTTTTTTCTTATTTATGACATTTATTTTCACATTTCAGAAATGAGACTTGGTAGAAACTGGCTGACTATTTTTTTGTTTTGCTTACAAAAATCTCATATTTGTTGGTTCTTTTCATTTTCTTACCAAGAAAATGTCTCTAATTCATTATCCTGCTTTTTTATATAGCTCTGTTAATTTCTTTGTACTTTCATACAATTAAAACGGTGCATTTTCCTCTGGAAATAAATTTTGAAAGTTTTGTTTTTCTTCTTTGGCCCGAAAGTTATTTAGAAACATTTTGAATTCTTAGTAGTTTTCTTTGTTTTTGTTTTTGTTTTTGATTTTATATAGTCATTGAGAACTCATTGATTTAATAACATTTCATTAGCATTGTAAGAAATACAAATATCTTTTAACTATTTCAGACTTACGGAAAAATATTAAGGGAACAACTATGGACTTACTGTCCAGACCCTGGAAACCAAACATATTTGCAATACTCATTTCAAATTTCTTCTTAAAAAATACAGGGAAAAAAATGGAAGTATCATTTGAGTTGCTTGCCTGTCATTCCCCATACCCACTCTCTTTACTGTTGACAGCAGCTGTTTATAGAGTGTGTTATTTGAGAGATAAAGGTCTGATGTCTGTATTCAAGCAAGCTTATTAAACATGCAGTTAGAATCTGTTTAATTGTTGAGGCTTCTTGACATAACATCTTCAGTGTGGTTTTAGAGATTTCTTTATTTCAAATGATAATGTCTTTTTTCTGCTTACAAAAACAATACATGTATATAAAGTATCTAACAGGGGAGTTTATAAAGTTAAAAAGGAAAGCTGGAGCTGGTGCTGTGGCATAGCTGGTAAAGCCACTGCGTGCTGTGCCAGCATCCCATATGGGTGCCAGTTCAAGTCCTGGCTGCTCCACTTCCGATCCAGCTCTCTGCCATGGCCTGAGAAAGCAGTAGAAGATGGCCCAAGTCCTTGGGCCCCTGTGCCAGTGTGGGAGACCTGGAAGCAGCTCATGGCTCCTGGTTTCGGATTGGCCCAGCTCCATTGTAGCCATTTTGGGAGTGAACCAGCGGATGGAAGACTTTCTCTCTCTCTCTCTCTGCCTCTGCCTCTCTGTAACTCTGACTTTCAATTAAAATAAACCATTTTTTAAAAAAGAGTAAGTTTTTGACAGTAGTATTCTTGAGATAAGCATATATTTTATAGAAGATTTATGGGGCCAGCGCTGTGGTGTAGCAGGTAAAGCTGCCACCTGTGGTGCCGACATCCCATATGGACACTGGTTCAAGACCCGGCTGCTCCACTTCCGATCCAGCTCTCTGCTGTGGCCTGGGAAAGCAGTAGAAGATGGCCCAAGTCCTTGGGCCCCTGCACCCAAACGGGAGACCCAGAAGAAACTCCTGGCTTCAGATTGGCGCAGCTCCGGCCATTGCGGCCAATTGGGGAGTGGACCAGCAGATGGAAGACCTCTCTCATTCTACCTCTCCTCTCTCTGTGTGACTCTGACTTTCAAATAAATAAATAAATCTTTTTTTTAAAAAAAGATTAGTTTATTTGAAAGACAGTGGCAGGAAAAGAGGGAGAGACAAAGAGATTTTCCATCTCCTGGTTCTCTCCCCAAGTGGCTACAAGGTACTCCAGCCAAAGCCAGGAGCTCGAAACTCCCTGTGGGTCTCTCATGTGAGTGGCAGGGGCCTAAGTACTTGGGTCATGTTCTGCTACTTTCCCTGACCCATAGCAGGCAGCTGGAGCAGAAGTGGACTGGTGCATCAGCGTCACACACAGTGGCTCAACTGGCTGCACCACTGTACCAGCCCCAAGATAACTATATTTGGTGTTTGAGCATATTGTCTGTCCTTCTAGACCTCGGTATGTGTAAATCTGCTTAGTGTGTCTTCCCACTGTTAATAACAGGACATCAGAGGAAATGCTTACTTTTGTACATGCTTTGAAAGGCAGGACATGATGCAAGTAAAATATATGAGTAAACTGTATGTCTATTTTGGGTGGAGGCACTTTGTTTTCTACAATTTGACACTCGTATTTGAAGCATACACATGTGGCTATTAGAAATTTCTTATAATACCTTTTGTTGGTAATTTTTATTAGAATTTGAGTTTGATTTATTACTATATCCTATTTCATTGGTTCACATTTATCTGGTATACTGTTTACCATCTTTAACATGAAATAATTTATAGAAGTATTATAACTTGGGCCGGCGCCGTGGCTCACTAGGCTAATCCTCCGCCTTGTGGCGCCGGCACACCGGGTTCTAGTCCCGGTCGGGGCGCTGGATTCTGTCCCAGTTGCCCCTCTTCCAGGCCAGCTCTCTGCTGTGGCCAGGGAGTGCAGTGGAGGATGACCCAAGTGCTTGGGCCCTGCACCCCATGGGAGACCAAGATAAGTACCTGGCTCCTGCCATCGGATCAGCGCGGTGCGCCGGCCGTAGCGCGCTGGCCGCAGCAGCCATTGGAGAGTGAACCAACGGCAAAAGGAAGACCTTTCTCTCTGTCTCTCTCTCTCACTGTCCACTCTGCCTGTCAAAAAAAAAAAAAAGTATTATAACTTTATTGCAGTAACAAACACACTCATGTATGCACCCACACAAGGAAGGAATTCCAAGAAATATAAGAAAATCACTCTTACTCCTGCTACT